TAATTATTCATAATCGAAGCTCGGAAGTGGGGTTTTAAAAACATGAGAGAAATCTGATTCTCGTCTTTGAAATCAAGTGTAAAACGGTCTAGCAATATCAGAGTAAAATGGAGAGTTTGAAACCCTCAATTTCCTTTAAGTTCGGAAATTTCAGATTCGGCAAGCAAACTTTGAAAAATCAGATCTCACTCTCTATGAGTCCAAAATTGGAAAACTTGGTACCGTTGGAAATTACTTCCAAGGTACTAAGAGTTTCTAGAAGATACTTTTCCATGATTCCAAACGAAAGGTATTCAAAATTTGTCTCAAAATTGCTGTTTTGGCTTGTGAGACAGTTTCGGGGTTGGTTTTTCGCCAACTTGGAAAATTCGGCAAAAATTCACAGAATTGGAACTAGCCTCTCAAATTTGAAACTCAACTAGAGTTGCAATCAAAGTTTAAAATGGAACAAGCGGAATGAGAATTGAAGTTTTGAGCACCAAGATATGGTAGCTCAAAGTTACCCAAATTTCTTTATTAAACAAGGATTTTCCAAAATCAAGTCATGAACTTTGGAAGTTTAGTTGAGCAGTGAAACGGACTCGGAATGGCACCAAAATTAGCAGTATAATAGTATTTCTCTGCCAAATTTCATGGATAAATATGCAAGGGAAGTTGGTTAACCAAATCACCAAAATTCCAAAATTTCCAAGGCAAATCTGCCTTGCGAGTTTCGTTTTCCGTTTTCAAAACGTTTGGCTTACAAAGTACCTCAAACATGGTCCATTTGCATAGACAATGTCTAAGAGGTATCCAAAACACAATTTTTGGTGATTAACACCAAGAATCTCAAATTAACAAGTTTCAATCGAGTTTAGTAACAATTCTGCCCAAAAGGAGAGTTTTCCTTCAAGAAGTCAGTTTCGAAATACGGCCACAAATCACTCAATTCAACTTGGAATTGGACGTGGTTGGTGGTGTTGGAAAACACTTTCATAAATCTACAATTTCTCAGAAGAAACCATTTTCAAAATCTGTGACGCCCCGAAAAAAAATGAGTTTGAGAACCCGGAAATTTTCTAATTTTCTAGGGTTTATTTTTTTGATCGCCCGCCTTTTCGACATTCTCTTTATTAGAAAATTCTCCAGATAATTTTTATGAGTAAATATAGTTTTTAAATTATTTTTCTAGTAGCGGTTAGTTTTTGAGAAATTAAGAGCGTATATCGGACGTGGGACCCGCTAGTGCGGCAAATGTAATATATTTTTGATAACTTGTTGGAGTTTTGTACTAAGTGATATTTTTCTACAAGGTGTTAAGAGATATTTATGGATTGGTATGAGAGAGACAAAAAAAAGATAAGTTTTAAACCAAAAGGTGACATGTGTCACCTTCTTATTCAAAGTTGGACCTTGACTTTGACTTGGACTTGTCTTAACCTTTACTAAACCAAATTTTGACCCAATTTCTTTCCATTTTATTGTCTTGGCCGACTCTCTCTCTCTCCAAGAAAAGAAAAGAAAGCTCTCAACTTGTTTCTTCAATTTCTTGCTCAAATCTAGCAAATCAACCGTTTAAACTTCCAATTTCTCCATAAAAACCCTTAGTTTAGTGGTTGTGAGGTTGGTTGTGAAGTGGTTTGGAAGAAAATGGTGCTAAGTTGCTTCGTTTCTTGAGGTTTCAAGGTGAGTGGCTTATGAATTCCTTCTTTGGTCTTGCTAATGTCAAATTAATGGTTTGTATTGGTTAAAGATGTGATTTTATGGAAGATTAGCACTTGAATGCATGAAATTTCCAGGTTAGGGTTTCACACAAGCCTGTTCTGTCCGAATTTATTTCAGCATGTTAGAGGCCAAATTGGCATTAGCACAAAACATGAAAGCTGTTGAGAATCATGTTTTCTAGTCTCCTGGAAATTTTCAGCCCAATCAGAGCTTGGTAGCTTGAGATAAGACGGAAATGCCCAGACTGGTCCAGGAAAGGGTTCTGCGAACAGGGTTGCCTTTTTACCCAGTTTGACTGTGACTTTTCACCGTGATTCTTACTGAATTAGATTTTAGCCAAAACATGAGAGTTGTAGCTAAGGCTATAAACTAGGTTCCTGTAAATTTTCAGCTTGATCCGACCACTGTAGCATGTGAAATGACCGAAATACCCTTGACTGTTTTCGAAACCTGTTTCGCGCCCAGATTTCTGTTTTCGTGTAGTCTTCCATTTTCGACCATGAAAATGCACGGTTTGGCCTTTGAGGTCTTCTGATGAAATGTAGCTTGATGTCTTAGCTACCATATGCCTTTGGAATTTCTAGATTTGGACTTGTACAGCCTGAGTTATGATGTTTCCGCTAGAATGCGTTTTGGTGAATCTGTTTTACGTTTTCGATAGAGTATCTTGCATTTTTGACCTATTTGCACTCAAAACTGGGTTGAGTGACCTTCTGTAATGTTGTAGCCCTGTCTTTTAGCTTCGAAACGGTGTATCTTACACCTCCATCCGATAATCGTAGTGCCAATGGTGCCAAAATCACTAAAGGACATCAAATCTGTTTTGGGTTTTAGGGCTTGGATTCGGACAAGATAATGGTTTATGACGGATGGGTTCTGAGCCGTGCAGGTGAGTGACCTCAAACTACTTCTAAAGTTATTTATGAACCGTTTCTTACATTATTTACTTTTGAACTGTTTCCAAAGTTACTTTTGAAATGTTTTCTTGCATATCATGCGTGCTGGCATGTGAGTGTGCCTTGTTTGCTATATTTCTTGACTTCATGACTTGTAGTTTGGTTGATAACGTGTTAAGCGCTTATAATGATTTCCAAAACGAGTTTTCGAGGTGAGTGTGTACTTTATCGCACTCGACCTCGATAAATGTGAAATTTTCGATTGAAATGTTACTTGCGCATGAATGTAAGCCTTTTGGGCTGAACTGGCCATTGCCCCTTGTTACCTGGTCGTCTTGAGCCAGAAGCGGACTCGGTCAGGCGATTAGGAACTTGGGTGAACGTTTGGTATACTCGAGTATTACCTATGTAGGTTGGTGGAGCCTGGCCAAAAGCCAGGGACGGGGTGAATGAAATGAAATGAATGACCAAATGAGCGAGGAAATGTCAGGAGAATGAATGTATCCTTTCATGAATGTTACTATTGCTTTCCATTGTAAATGTTTCTTGAATTATTGATAATCCATATTTACTGTTTTGCAAATGTTGTAGTTGTTTCCGGATTTATCATTTGATTTATGACATCATTGCTATATGACATCATTGAAATGAACTATCGTGAAACCGATTTGATTAATGATTTTCTGGTTACTCGCTGAGCTTTTAGCTCACCCCAAAAACTATTTTATTCCCCTCCACAGGGCTCGTGGCGAAAAAAGGACTTGTTGTGCTGATTCACGTGAATGGATGGCCTATGTCGCGCCCCATTTTTTGATAAATAAATAAATGGTTTAAAAATGTATTTTTTGATTCAATTTGTGATTTGGAAAATGAATTGTGATTTAAAAGGAAAATGGGCCTAAATGGGGGTTTTGAGAGTGCGACGATTTGACCCAAAAATTATGGTTTAAAAAGGGTTTTTGAAATAAAAAACGGAGTCGCCATTTGGTAATGAGTTAAGGTGTACCAAGTCACCTAAAAATGAATTTTTTAAAGGAAAAAATGGGAAAGAGTAGTAAGAAACCCCTTTTAAACGACTCCTAGTCCACGTAAACCAAAAAAAAGGTTCGGGAGTCACATTTGACAAAGGGGAAGGCAAGGATACAATCCAAGGCACCCCTTTGACCTAGCCAAGGCTAGTTGCGTGATTTAATCAAAGATTTTCTTGTTTTAACCAAAGAATTTATTACATTTGGATGTGCTACATGAAATGCAAAACCCTAGATTCTAAGATGTCTCTTGTAAGGTTTTGGTCCCAACCACATGAATTGTGGCGGCCAATAAAGGAAAACCTTATAGAGGTCGATTAATGCAAATGATGGCTAAAGTGCAAGTGTGCAAGTGTACAAAAAGGTGCACGTGTGAAATTGTATGAAAAATCCAAGTGTTTGTGTGCAAGTGTATGAAAGGGTGCATGTGTGAAATTGTATGAAAAATCCAAGTGTTTGTGTGCAAGTGTATGAAATATAGTGATAATTGCATATAGGTGTAATTAAGTGCAATTTTGTGAAGTAGAAATCAAAATGAACAATAAGGAAAGGAAAAGTGATGAGGAAATGTGAATTGAAAAAAATGAGTAAGTGATAAATGAGAATGAATGAACCTAAAGGAATGCAAAATTGCAAAATTTATATACACGTTGTGAGTTCCCAACAAACAAGTAGATGGTTCACAGTCTCCACGTTATTTTGAGGTAGTCACCACTTCAGATGCTTTTGCTAAAAGCATGCCAAAGCAAAGAATAACTGCACCTTTTTGGTGTGTGAGTTCTTGGCATCCTGTTGAAGAGAAATTACATTTTGACTAGAGAGATGCTTTCAAAGGATGGCCAAAGAAGGATTTAACAGAAAAAATGACAATGACGCTTTAAACTTAATTAATAATATCACTTCCATCACAGTTCTTTATAAATTCCTAAAAAATGTTGAGTTCATTTGCATGTCAGACCACTGTTGTTTCTCCTCGTGCTTCCAGCCATAACTCCGGTAGCCTGGCAATTCTAAACAATTAGGTGATTCCCTTTTAGAGGTTCTAGCACCATTTGATACCTCCTAATATCTAGTATTTATTCCAATTGCCTCCAGCACAAAAAGTTTATCTATGTTGCCATTCCTCTCTGCAGCCTCAGTAGAACTGCATAACTCCTCAATGCTATGCTTGCTGCTCATTGTTTCTTTCCAAAATGAATGTCTACTTAACCATTTCTTCTATGAATGCCTGATGAAGTCCTTTAAACTTCTCACAGTGATGCATCTGTCATGTACTAGCATACCGTATTACTTTTAGTGAAAATGGCACTTTCTTTTTATTGTCTCTTGTTCTGTTCCCATTGCAACTATTTTCCTTTGTTTTCTTGTCAGCATGGATGTAGGGCTTGGTCCTCCTTTACATGTTACGTTGAATTTCCTTAAAATAAACATCCATTACTTTTTCTCTTTTTCTTTTTGGTTGCTGAAATAACACTTCCAAGATACCTTCCAAAAAATTTTTTTCCTAATAGTTTTGTTAGAATTTGACTTGCTGCATAACATGTCCTGAGAAAATGAGCTGTACTTAGAAGTGTAGTTTGGCACCATATTAAGCATCTATAGGACTGTCTCTGTATTTCATTGAATGTTGTTGTTTAAAGACTCTGTTTAACTTAACTGGGGTCAGCTGCTATGGGGCAATACCCACTTCTGCCTTTCCTGCAAGACGTTTTATATGGTGCTTTATTGCGTAAACAGTGGCAAAGCAATCGTCTAAGACAAAATTTCTCACTCCTTGAAGGTGCATCCTGCCACAAATTCAACTTCTGAACTTTGAGGTTGCCCCTGTGCTGGACTTACTAGTGAGGTCAACTGAAGAAGATTGCATCGTTGAACTGTTGTCCTGCAAGGTAATATTAATTTGAAGATAAGGATCTCACAAGAGTGAAAAGATTAGGCTTACTTGGAATACACAAAATCCAATTGGATGAATATGTTTGTGGAACTGAGAAAACATGTTTATGATATTGGCAATAAGACTTCCTTTTCAGAATGTAAACAGTACATGGATGTCTAGCTAACATTTCTTAAATTAGCATATTTGTGTGAATCCTGCTCCATTGATGTAGCTGAATTTTTTGCTTTCTTTTTTTAATTAGAATGTAACATCTTTTTTTTCACAATTAATTCCAAAAATATTCTTCGGGGAATTGCTACTGAAAACTAGTTAAGCTGTAGAACATCTTTTGTATAAGTTGTTGCACTAAAGCCAAGAGGTTAGTGACAAGGTGGTCTTCGGTGCTCCTCTTTTGAGAAAAATGTTGGTAAAGCCTGTTCAAGGTGTATTCCTTTCTGTACATCAAGGTGACATCTTTTTGTGGTTTTTGAAACAGGATTTAAGTTTGAGTCACGACAAATTTTGATCTCTACTCTTTCTGAATGAGAAAGATGCATGTTTCATCTATAGTTTACTTACTCTTAAATTTTGTTTTATTCACTGTTCTGTTGAATTCACAAAATATTGGAACAGAAGAGTCAAATTGAAGACTATTTTGCTGCAGCCTAAGATAAGTTGTAGTTGTGACCAAGATAGGTATTGAAGATAGACTCAAAACATCTCCAAGTAGACTGTTCCATTGGTTGAGTTCTTTTATGCTTTTTCAAGGAACATGCTTTGGAATGTGTAATCTTACTCTTAGGGAGCTAAATGAGTGCTAAAGTTACATGCCTCTGAACTCTCTGTCTGCTTTATCTCGTGCTTGTCATTAAGCACTCTCACACTGAAGTCATTCATTTTTTATCAAGTCATTGCTGGACGGTCTGAAAATTTAAACTCCAAATGGAGTTTAAGTAGCATAAACTATACCTAATAGCTAGAGCCAAAGCAAACAAACAGTTACTTTCAGCAGATTGTTTAAAGAATCTAAAACAATATCTTAAAATTTATTAAGTGCAAAGTTAGAGATCTTTCCTTTTTCTTGTGCACACGTTAAAATCTTTTTTCCTGTAAATGAAGAAATCTAACCTAAGATTTTCGTATCTCTCCATGTTCTCTTCTGTCTTATCAGAACATCTCATAATTTACTACATCTTTTTACTATTCTAAATGTCCCATGTGTATATTTATCACTTCCCAGAACAGCATATGTTGGTAAACATTCTAATATCATGCTTGCAGACATTGAACTTTGAGTATCTTTGGTCTTACATGCATAGTTTATTCAATTTTAGTCATTGACATACACTTAATACTAATTGCAGTTTGAAGGCTCAGAACTTTTGGAGAGGCAGAATGATCGCTTTTCAGGTATCTTTGACTATCAGTTGAAGTCCAATTGTCTCATGCTTATTTGGCTCAAAATTAGGTAAACCAACAAATTATGTAGCCCTAGTAAGAGAAGCATGATATTCATGTTAGCTACACTCACTGAGATGTTACAACATGTGATTTGAAATGCTTTTCTGAATCAATAATGTTCAAGCATTTTAGGCACAACTTGTTGTTTGGCTTGTTTGATATTCTTCCAGTAATATGAACGCAATTAATCTACTAATTTACTGCACCAAAGTGATCTTTGATGCTTATATCATATATGCCTGCAATGGATAAATTCCGTTTTTTTTAAAGGAAATTTTTATATTTAAATAAGAAAGGTGCCTAAACAATTTTTACTTTTGTTTGTTGTAACTTGCAGCATCTATGAGAAATCACATAACCTGGGAAACAGTGGATTCCAAATCCTTTCTGGATGTTGATGTGAAGTTGAATATCTCTCTTGAGGTCACTTCTCCTCCTCAACATCTTTTAAAGTCTTGGATAAATGCTATAATGTGTTCATGTTTTTTGAGTTACCTATTGTTGCCTTAACTGTATTGCCAATTGAAAAGGACGCACAATTTTAGTGTGTCATGCCAGAAAGTTTTAATCGCTACTTTAAATGACAGATTTTAGTCAGAGGATCATATCTAGGAATGAAAGAATAGGTAGCACTGACCTAAAAGTATCCTTCAAGACTTTCCTGGAAGGCACCAACCCTGGCTTGTGGTGGTTGTGACGTAAAAAGGTCAATCTAATACATTGGGTACTTTGAAGCATTGAAATTGTAATTAATTGGAATTTTAAATGACTTGTAAGTGGAATGCTTTCTTTTTTGGCTTATCATTTTCAAAATCCTCTTAATTGATAAGATGTGGCCTATGACTATTGACTAAAGATAGTCTTCCATTAGTATAATTATGGACAAGGCAATGTCTGTAGTCACAGATTTGGTCTATTTGACCCATTAATTTTCTTATGTTGAAGAAATATTAGTGTCCTGGGAGTTTCATTTCAAAGACTTAGGTCATACAAATTCTTATTGCCTCTTTTAGAACTGAAAAGAAAAAAAAAAAGAATTGTAGTACCTTAAATATATGATGAAGTGTTTTTATACAAGAAAAATTTCTCTGTGAGCTTTGTCTTGCTCCAGCTTATGTCCTTTTCAGTGGCCAAAACACTGTCTGGGCTAAGCTGAATCAAAGGCTGAAATTTAACTGTAGCTGGTGCTACTCATATTTAGCAATTCTGATATCTGTCATACTAGTTAACTTGTTGTGTTGTTCATATCTTTATAGTTGCTTTACTTCTTTATACTTTGTCTCTGGTTTAGGGCACATTTGGTTTTGATCTCTGGTCAATAAAGAACTAACTACGTGGAATTCACTTTCCATATTGACTTTATTTACTTTTCCACCCTCTTCCCAAGAAAGGAGAGGGAGAACATGTGGAATTTTTGGTTTATTAGCCCATATTTATATCAGTAAATAAGTGGAAGCTCCTGAGTCACTGTGTACGTGTCATGTAACTTTTTGTGCATTTAGTCAAGATGTGCTACTGTATTAAGCCTGTACATGGATAGTGATTCTACGGCTGGATCACACATGTTATGAAGTTTCTCTCTAATTCTACTGGATGAAATGACAAACTTTGGTTCGAGCCTTTTTAAGTTTAGTAGAAATGACTGGCCACTTTACTATTGTCATGTTTTAAGCAACTTCTTTTTTGGCTCTTTTGTTGATGACATTCGATGGAGTTGAAGAATAATCGGCATTTGTATCCCAAGAGTGCAACTGACAAACTGCCATTTTAATGCAGATCTATACTTACCCATTCATATTGCTTCCAGAATCAACTGTTGAGGGTCCAGGAAATTTGTAAGCACCAATCTAATATACTTTATTGACATCATGGATATGAAATTCTAAATTTGAGCGAGGGGAGGAAATTTGTTAGTTTTGCATTGGGAAGGGGTTGTTGGTGGGAACTGGAGTAGTTCATCCTACAACTGTTCTTTTTGCGAAGTTCTCCACTTTCATCTGAAGTGTCACTCACTGTCAATGAGCTTCACATTCTTGTGATGAACTATTCGATTGTGCATGCTATGTGCTTGGTTTTCCTTCATCCAAGAATCCACAATTCTTTGCAAATGTTACTAATGTTATCCTTGAAAATTGTTTGCTTGATAGAATGACTAAGAACTTGCATTGGACTACGTTACAACAAGATCAAATGTTTTAGTGAAATATTTGTATCTACCTTATGTTATAGCATCTACTTGACATCTCTGGTAAATTGTTGTAACGTACTAAAATTTTGTATTGTTCATTCATTTATAAACTATTATGACATTGTTATTAAACTTCTCTTGGACATCAACCTTTCAAAAGGCCAGAGCCAAAGGGCCACTACTTGAAAGCCTGATCAAATGGTGCACTTAATTTTGTAGAAGTAATATTAACTTATAAACAAGTAATACTGTGTAAATGTTTTTTTACTTCTTTACAAGCAATATTGCAATATTTTGTTAATTTTAAAGCATGATTATTTGTGCTGTCTCTGCCTTATGATTTCATCTGTCAACGGAATTTCTTTAGGTTTGCCAACCTCACAAAGTATCTCTGCTTGACTATGTCAGTAGAGACAAAGAATTTTGCTTTAAATTGTAGTCCCTCGTATTGCGTTTCTCTAGTTTTGGGCACATGGAAACTTTGTTCTCAACTACCAAAGACAGCTTTATTTGCACATAAGCCTAAAATTAAATTGTATGGCATGCAGAATGATGCAAGCCCTAGTGGACAGACTAGTACCGTTGCATGTACAACAACTGCTGCAAGATTATGATAAATGGGTTCGTAGGCAACAGAAGGTCTTGCAATGAAAAGTGGTCTCCAGAGTTCATTCTCAGACCTAATTGGAGGTTCGCTCAAATCTGCACTTTTGGGTATAATAATTTTATTAATTTTCTTTTGGGCCAAGCATGAGAATAGTACAAAAAGCATTAGCATATGAGCATGTCATTTCTAGAAGTGACTTTTGAGTAATATTTTCACTCAAGAAATTTGATAATAGTACAGAAGAACTTTGAAAATGCATAGAAATAGAGAATCAACTGAGTTCCATATTGAATTCGTACTACTTTAAAGGTTGGTCTCTTAGCACTTTTCTGAATAACTAATGTTTTCTCTGTCATGCAACTTGAACATTTTTGTATCCATTGCAAAGCAATGAGATTAGATATGGACACCAATTTGAGACCTGTAAAGTTAATTCTTTGTCAGGCTTATCCATTTATATGCTTTGATAGTGTACCATGTTATTGAATGACAATAACTAAAGGCACCATATTAGGGTTCTGAGCTAAATATGCTTGTCGAGTGTATTAATATGTGCAGATTTACATTTCTTTTTTACCAAAGAATACTGTCTGGTTTCGTCCAAGAGTAGCATTTGACTCCTTTAGTCACCTACTGCTTCCTGTTGTTCTTTTTGTAGTAGCACCTTGCGGAATATTATCCCACAGCAGCTGCATAACTATTCATTGGGCACCTTTAACAAGGCTAGATATTCTATTTTCGTCTTTGCAGCGTATAGCAACATTTCAGTTTCCCTTACTGTGGCTTCCTTTTCTACTCCCAGAAGATTAGGCAGATTTACAATAAGTTAAACCAGCACAAAGCTCAGCATCATCTGAACACATATCCCATTCAGACTCCTATATGGCAGGGCCCTTGGATATGTGCAGATATCTACACAACAGCCTTCGGGAAGTGTTTCATCAAGTCAGTGACGTCTGTGTCACTTGTAGATGTGAAAAATGTACTTTGCTGCATTATGATGTATTAATAACTTTTGAAGAGCAACCCCTTTGGAAGTTGGAAGTATAGACCAGCAGGGTCCCTGGCATTTGAGACTCTTATCTTGAACTCGTGACTATTTGTGATCTCATCATTGGTATAATTCTTCATTCCTTTTCCTTGTTAATGCAATAATTTATGAGTGTTTGGATCAGTATTGTTAAAGGATTTTGGTAAATGTTAATTGCCTTTAAGGGAATACTTGAGGATTATAGCATTGTTAAAAGCTACTGCTTAGATGTCCAAAAGGAATTGGAAGGAAAGATAGGTAGCTTAGAATATCTTATGAGGTCGAATTCATAACGTGGCACTTGAACTCTCTGTCTTTGTAGAAAGAAAAATAAATGAGAAGAAGAACTCTGCAATAATGAATTGGAGGGAATCAACTTATGTTTGTCATATTATTTAGCATGTCTCTTCTCCGACTACAGTTCTTAGCAATAGTAGGCTTCTAACAAAAAAAGGGGGTAAAATGATACATCGAATTCAACTAATATAGGGGAAATGTGGAACATGAATACACAGGGAAATCTTTGGTGTGAGCTTAGTACAACAGAAGATTCCAAACATCATCATAGAGAATAAAACAAAGTATGAAGAAGGAAGAACCTATACAAATACAGTTACAGCGCAACAGTTAGAAGATATAGTTTGGATTGCGAGTTTTCTAGAAAAAAGTTTTTTAGAATATTCTCTCGACACAATTTTTCATTACATTTTAGCTCGTATACATCACGTCATTATATATATTTTTGTATAATAAACTCCTAAAAACTCCAATCCAAACAGGATTGATCATCGTTGCTTCAAACATTTTCTAAACACTTTTAGCAAGAATTGCTGTTCTTTTTTTCGAAACAATCTTATATGTGTAGTAGTGAGCACTTGCCTAAATGTAATTTAAAAATTTCAGGATCAAGTTACTTATCCAGTATTGCTAAGAAGAAAAGAACAGCAAGTCCTTCATCCAGTCACCAAAAAGCACATAAAAACCCAAACTTTTAATTCTATAGAATCTTTTAAAGAAATGCAGTTTCTCATATATGTGCCACTTTTCAAATGGTCACATTAAAGTCACCGAATAAATGGCTAAATGGTATTCTGGAAGTTCTCTATGTATTCCACTTTTTCCAAGTCTAATCTATGCTACTAATGAAATCACTGATCTGTCTAAAGAAATGAAATTTACTAAATGAGTAGGATGCGGGTCATGTTAGTCTTGGAGCTTTTGGTGATTTAAAAACATAGCAGGAAGAAGAAGAACAAGAAACTTGCTTCAGATGAGTATTCCAGCAGCACAAGGAAACAATAGCTTTATGAATTTTGTGCATGTTAATCTGATTGTAATATCACTCGAGTCAACTAAAGTACTTATAAAAAGGTTACATGAACCTGTAACAAGAATCAACAACGAAAGGGAACTCAGAGCTAAATACTAGTAGTTTTTAATCTAGTTGGAAGAAGTTTTCTGTTTCTGCAATCAACAAGCATAAAAAAAATGAAGAAACTTATTTGAGATAAATATTTAAGCACAAGGAAAATTTTGTGTGCCGCGTTAATCCGATTGTAATGTCACTCAAGTCAAATAGAATTCTTTTAATAAGGTTACATGAACCTGTAGCAAGAATCAGCAGCAAAGGGAACGCAGAACAGGATGCTAGAAATAGACAAGTTATACACCTAGTTGGAAGAAGTTTCCATTTCTACGATCAGTTAACAATGCTCATTATTAGATGACATCTTCTCCTGCTGCAAATAAAATCAAGTATATTTACAACTTCTTCAGATGCATTTCTTAAACGAGAACTATGCCACAGTTGACTAAATATCCATTAAAAAAAATGCAAAAGGATGCGGCCCTCCACCTGCTGGTTAATCAACCAGCATCCACAAAGTAGGAAAGCAGGTAGAATCACAAAAAATGGCAGGTAGACCAATCTTAGTTCTGTACACCAATATAGAAACATCAGCTGCAAATGCGATATAAGTAATTGGGAACAAATGATACCACTTTTGTACAGGATGGGTGTCTGGTCATAAGCTGAGCTTTCGAACAAGCTATCCTTGATTAAGATGTGATCGAGATACTTGAGTATCCTCTGTGATAGCTCGATATGCTAAATCAAACTACTCTTTCTTTCAGTAATTTCAAATGTGATTACGCACCAGAAAATGCAAAATCATCTTATTCGTGACAATCTTTTCCTTTTCCTATTCCTTTTACGTGCTGCAGCATCATTCTTAGAACTTGAAGGCAGAGCAAGAGTAGTCAATGGCTTGCCACATGACGTTCTGCCTTTCTTGGTAGTCCATCTCAACGGCATGTTGTTTACAACGGTACTAATATCATCAGAACTGTTAAGCTCAACAAGCTTCTGAATTTGATCAAGCATCTGGTGTGCCCAGGCTGTTGACAAATCTAGCGCAATTGAATCATCCAATGGTTTCTCTTGTAGGCTCATTAAGATGTCTTGAAATGACTGAAATGATAAGGTTGGTTGGTAGGAGCGAAGGTTCTCACAGATCATGTTGACCTTAATAACATGCTTGCATAGGTTTCCCTGCATTGACCACTCACAATCACAAAGAGAGAATTCAGATCCAGGATTCCACACTATTCGTGTTCTTGTGCTTTCTCTTTGGCTCAAAACCTTTGCAAAAGGATGGTCTTTATCATCCAAGGTAACAGCAGTATCAGGAATTTGCAATGCCCGATGCCATGATGTAGAAGCAAGATACTCCTCTTTGACATTTTGAAACGAATCACTCTCATCTGCAAATCGATCAAGCCAATAGGAAGAATGCAGCTCCGTTGTCAACTTGTGCACCAACCAATCAACTCTCTGAAATGCACCAAGATGTGAATCATCGTAAAGTTTAACTTTCAGCTTCACATGATATGCTTCAATTGCACCAGAGGACTCCTGGCTTGCTAGCGGAAGAGTTCTCATACTGGTAAGCCACATTTCTATTCCAAACATACAAATAGATTAACAAAAATCACCGAAACATATAAGAGAAAACAAACAAGGGAAAGTTATCCAACCCATCTTTGGGAGCCAAGTAGCTCTGAAGTAATTTAGAAGGCAGTTTGATCAACAAAATCTTGAGTAAATTTTTCCAAAGGAACCATGTAATCAACTTCACCCCAAATGCTGTAGACAATTTCCCCCAGCCGTTTAAATATCTCCCGCTGGACTTCAATGTTATTGCATTTCTTCAAAATATTCCGCAGCCATGATCTGCGAATACGCCACAGCGAAAATAGGACAGGGCAAGAAAAAATCTCCCTGAAATCCAACAATAAACATAAGCACCCTGTTCAGACCAGCAATATATACACTAAACAGAAAGGCAAGCAAAGCAAAGAATTCTGCCTTATTGGATCAATCTCTGCTGCTGCGTCATCAACCAAAAACGCATTGACCTTCCATCCTAAATCAACTGTATGAACTCGATCAACTAGAGCTTTCATCCATTTAGCCACATCTGATTTAACTACACTACACGTGTAATTACCCATGCAACTGGAAGTGCATGTTGCCGGGAATCAAACACAAGCAGCGTGCACAAGGGATACTGCATTTCATATAACAATCATAAATCAAATGAGCTTTCATTTCGGACCATTCACACAAATAGAATATATTACCTTCAGTTTCTTTATCCCAAATGTTGAATCTGCTGCAACAATGCTGCGGTGCCCAAACCTAATCATTTGTTGTAATTGCCACTCAGTTTGGATCCCCAAAATGAAAGGATCTGTTTCTGATGTGTCCTGATAAAAGAAAACAGATTTTTTGTTGCGTTCAACCCACAATTTAACACTAGCTTGGTCATCTAGATCCAATTCATGAGTGGAACGCTTGATTATCAGGCCAAGTTTGTGAACATATTGAGAAGCAAGGCTGTTAACTTTTGCATTAGAACCACAGTAGCGCTGAATGCCCTCTATGTGCTTCTCTAGTACATTTTCCTCGGGAATACCAAGATAGATCATAGACATAGTCTGCTGTTGAATCTCATTGCATATATATGGGATTTTCTTGGCACCAGGACCAATAGCATCTCGGTCAAGTGGGCCATGACAGATAGAGCCAGACTTGTTTACATGTCGCCTATTGTTATATATGAGAAGTGCAAGAGATGGACGGGCATAGAGGCGCTTTACTACAAAATGGCACGTACAACCCCTCATGGATTGGGGTCTAGCAGCACGGTTTCGAGTGTTGAGCCGATATCTGCGACTAGGTAATATACCCCACCTTCCCCATAGTTTTCTGGTCCAAAAGAACACAATACCTACAGAAAACATGTATCATGATGATTGATAGTCCCCATCCTTCTTTTCTTCCCCTTTCAAGTGTAACCTTTCCATGTATTTGCTTTTACCTTTTATTAGACCTTAAAATTCTTAAGGGAGCTGGAGGGTTAAGGAAAGAAAGGCAAAAGCATAAATCCAGAGTGAACCAAAAATGGCAGCTTTAAAAGTATAACATTCATTAAATCTTGTAAAGCTTATGCAGCCAGGATGCAAGCGAGCCACAATCAAGTGTTTCCCATTTTCCAAATAAAGAAAATTGCTTAGTTAAGCATAATTTAAAACATTGTTGACAATAAAATATAAAGAATTCCAGATAGACAATACAACAAGATTGCTATGGATGACAATAATTCACCTTACTAGCTTAGCAATGACCAAAGGCAAAAAAGCGGTTAAACACATTGTTTAACCTTTAAACTATGTTTCTGAACAAAGCTTTGCACTAAGATCTATAGATCATCTAATCTGCTTGTACCATGACCATAATCACAAAAGAGGTTAAGACATGTTTTTCAACCTTTATACTCTTTTCCTGAACAAAACACTGCACTAAGATCTATAGATCATCTAATCCAGGCTAAGATGATGTTGTTTCGTGTTCTGGAAAAAATTATCAGGTACAGGAATACAATAGTGCAACTTCATCATTCAGCTAGAAAGAATCAAGATCGTGAGAGAACTAAAAACCTTACAGCCTATACTCCAGATATTCGTCATCTTTGTACTCCTGTAAACTGCTCTGCCTCGTTTGCGACCCCTCTCAATGTGAAACCGAGTTGGGCATTCTGCATTCAGGCATTCTCCAATAATAAATGCATCGACTCGGGCATAAGGGA